TATAGGCGAGGTTGGGTTCTACCAGAACTCGAACAGCGGCCTGAGCGGGCGTCGTGATATCGACACCTAAGTAGAATAGCCTCCACCCGCTGAGGTTAAGGATTGCAGAGCCTTGGTACTTCGTTGACGAAAGTCCTACAGTGTCGAGGTGGTATTTTCTGGCCTCATCAGCTAAGTCTTGTTCTTTCTGAGTGATGATATATTCTAATTTTCGACTGTAAGCTCCCACTTTCGGTGTCGTTTACGTGGAGCCTTTTCTGACTGGCTATAATGGCATCGCGCTGTCTGCCTCCTCCGTTCAAAACGGGTAGCGACTCCGTTGCTGACTGGTATCTTCATGGTCGTTCCTTCGGTCTTTGTTAGACGATGTTGTGCCGCTACGCCCCCGGTTGGCTGAGGGTGACGAGCAGGTTCTGATCGCAGACTTGTGGGAGTCTATATCAGTCTGCCAACAGCCTGGGCGGCCCATGGTCGCCCGAGCAACAACAGAGCCGGTGTAATTTTCGATTGCATCAATACCATGAGTGGCAGGGGGCGAACTTTTACGGAGACTTCGCCACGGTATCCAGCTCTCCTCCTTTCTCAACCGGGCTTTTAACCGGCAGTGGCGGAGTTGCTTTCTAGTTCTTGATTCCATTAATTTTTGATATTTCCAGTACTGTACGACACCGGTTTGTAATATTTTTCGAGAGAAATTCTACAGTATTGCTAATAGTTGTGGATTTTTCTTTGGAAAGTGCATTCAACCTACTCTAGAACTTAAGTAGGCCAAAGTATGCTAAGGCATTGATTCTGCTGACTAAAATTCTCCTTCGCTCCTAGAAACTGTTTTATTAAATGTTTTACCTCATCTCACTAAGCCATTTAACATTTAATTGCAACGATATTTTTGAAGCACGCTTGGTCCTGCGTTCTAATCGGTTTTACCCTTCTTCATTTCGCTGCTGAGTGAAAATAAACTTGCAGTCGATGTCGGGCAAATGAAGTGCCGGGGAAGGACTTGCGTGGAACAGCCGGTAGTCACTCTCTCTTTGCTGTGCTGTGTCTGCTACAAGCCGGGGATTATTATTCGCAATTTGTTTGTAGTAAATTCTCTTGGTATGTGACCTCATTTCTGTAATATTTCTCATAGCGTCATGATCTCTATCGAGAATGGCTTACTATATAATAATTTCAAAGCCACGGCGTCTTTATTCGACATCAGGTAAACCTATGACACGATATGATGATATTTTTCTAGTGAACCCGTGCTATTTCTGCAGATGATTCTTCTGAAAGTCCCATGTTCCAGATTTGCTGTTCTTCATTTACTTCATTTCCAGAGGCCAAGTTCGTTTTTTTTTTATAGCTATTTCATTCTAGCGCTGTAGAATAAAACACTGGCGATCGATTCTTCTTTTCTCCATCCCGTACGTGGACTCTGCAATGTTAAGTTTCGTAGCTGCCTCACGATCCCCCTTTTCTTTCGCGAAATTAAGGGCTTTCAGCTTAAACGTCGCTGTATAAGATTTTCTCCGTACAGTATTTTTTTCTTCATGGGTAATTTTCTCTAGAGTAACTTTCGATGTTAAAAACTAAACACTTACAGAACACACGTGTTCAAAGACCGTAAGCAGTATAGTGACTCTTGATAACTATTTTGTTCGTTTGTTTTAGATACAGCCATTCATATTATTCCACTATTCATTTGTCTGAAAATTGCCTTTTTTCAGGGAAGAAATAGACTACACTCTATCTGTACATTTTCATGAGCATTAAATGTTACAAGGTGCGCTGTATGTACTAGATGTGCGTTATCTATACACTTCAGCGAGCAAAAAGAAGTACGAGATGCGCGGTTTTCATAAGGTGCGCGCTGTCGATGGGAAAATACGATACTACATACATAGTCTGTATGCATTATTGGTTAAATTTTTAAATTAGGTGTATTTTATTAGTAACAGAGAACGTATGTGCATATTAATCAGAAATGTGATATTTTACCAATGAACACAGTTCGGCTGACTCCTTAAACATAATTTGTGATGTGCAGGGTATTAAAGCTAGAGCTGCTAAATTTTAAAAGAAACAGCTGCGATCTGCAACTGATCAAATACCATGACGTCACTATCTGTTTACATAGTGCTCTGATATTAAACAGGGGCTTATTGACAGATTGATGACAGAACTAAGTTCCTGGAGAGTACGCTTGTATTTTCCAGAAATGGGAAGGCGTGTCGCGTTTCCTGACGCTTTCGGTTAAAGGTTCAGTGGGTGATCTCAGATCTGCAAGTCGATCTTCGTTGGCGAAGCGTTCTATGTTGCGTTAAAATCTGATTGGCTTGACTAGGGTCCTCCGCCTTTACATTTCACTACTTCTGCCAACACAGTAATTGATTCATGTTAAGTTCCTTCAGAAAAAAAGTTTAAATTATTATTAAACTTCAGTCGGTGCCATTACTAAAACTGTTTCAAAAGAGGAAGCTATGCCTAGCGTTGTATCATAGTGGTTGTCGGTTGGAATTTTTCGACACTGTATAGGAAAACTGATGTTACATACACGTTTTTCTGGGCATCTCTTGTGACATCTTCAATCTTGCGTTTTCCTCTGACTGTGTATCACCAGATCTAATTACTCCTTGCGGGTTTCGGGTGCAGCGATTTCGTGAGATACATTACGTGCTTCTTATTCTGTGCCAGCGATGCAAGCTCTTTCGAGCTGGCAAGATCAGACACTACCTTGCAGTTATTTTATTGCAGACCACTCAGTTGGCTCTACGTTAACCTCTGGGGTGATTACGTTACAGTCCTGTTTTCACTGATAAGGAAAACAGTGATTAATCTATCATACGGTTTACATGCGATGACTAGCGCTGTTCTAAATTTTGTATAATTTTCGCATTACAGATGGCTGATGTTTTTTGTAGTGCATAGTGCCTTTGTGCGATGATGTTCAGGCGAATGCGGTCAAGCGTGCTTTCTGCTTCTGCGATCCGTCAATCGTTGCCTCCTGTTCCAACCGTGACGTCACGCACATATGGTGAATTTTCCTTTAGTTTTTTTTCATGCTTTGATCGAGATTTTCCCAACAGGAGTCCCAAGCTTCGAAAGCGATTCTCATTGATTTGTTCGAACATCGGGGGAGACTTATTCGAAACTCTGGATGCGATAAAGGTACATGCGTTGGCTGCTCAAAAATGCAGCTACGTTTTAAATGCGTCTTAAAGATTTTTTTTCTGATTTTGTTTACATCGAATGAATATAGCTTAAAACGTCTTTTATTGAAAAAGAATGACGCTAAGTATCAATCAGTGATTATTTTCGTCCTCTTGCCCGTTTTTGTTTTTCTGTTACCGTTCCGTTTCATTCTCTGTCTCTTGTTTACCCGTCTCATTCGCCTCCTTCTACAAGAAATAGGAGGTAATGTTATATCGTAGTCAACATGTTGAAGATGTTTCCTTCATCAGCGTGGCCCTTCTAACTGATTGCATCGTAGCAAAGATTTGCTTTCGCCACAGGCTGTGGAATGAGGGTCCCAGAAATGATTCCAAGCATAGGAAAGACAGAAATATCTCAGAGGCCAGCATCATAAAGTTTACAATTATTTCCTTTTCTTAACTCATTCTTTGACGTCCTTATTAACAATGCTACTCCCCTGATTTCTTCATTTCATTTCATCGTCGGATTGCTGCGTTCGGTGAATGCCGAAACATTGCTCATTGACAAGATTTACTGCCTGCTTGTGACACTTCAGAGTTAATGTGAGGAATTAAACAAAATTGATTATTTTTTAAAGCTGTTTAATATCTGTTCAGGTGTCAGATGTGTGTATTTTCGTGTGGCCGTCAGATGGTGAA